TCATAGTATCATTTGGACATATCCCTTCTTTTCTTTTTCCTTCATTTGACAAATATTAATAGATCACCTCCTATGATGGTTTCTGGGTATGTGTTGGCATGTGTTGCTGTCTGGCCTGAAAATTCTCACTGTATCCCATTTTCTCTGGCCCTGCCCTTTAATGGTATCTGTCTCTTGTCTCCTTGGTGTGACCTCCTCCAGTTGCAAACCTTCCCCTCTTCTTACCTCTTTGCAAAAATTAGAGCCAACATCCCTCTATCATTCTGCATCAACTGTGGTTGTTTAACCTTGAGCTGAAGACAACAAGTATTCTGAGTATACAAAAATGAGCTGAGCCCGGAGATCCCTGCAGATTGCATAGCTCTGGGGTTGATTTCAGCCCATTAGATCTAGAGGCAGAGAGGAAAGTTCTCGATCATCTTATACCTTCACTGGGATGTGTAACTTGTTTTCATGACTCTGTGAGCTGTGGCATAGAACCAATGTGTAGTTTATGGGCCAGCATTCCCAGTGCCACCTGGAAACTTGTTAGATATACAGAATCTTGGGCTCTTTGGCAGAGTTACTGAATCAAAATCTGCATTTTAACAAGACCATCAGGTGATTCATGGGCACATTAAAGTTTGGGAAGCCTGAAGCACTAGTACAGAACAATGTTTTTCAAATTTTGCAACACATTAGAATCATATGGGAGCTTAAAGAAATCTGATTCCCGGGTTGCATCCTAGGGCAATTAAATCAGAACAGCTTAGCAAGGTGTGGAGGTGCACACACTTACAACCTAACATTCAGGTGATGGAAGTAGGAAGATCACCTTTGTTTGACGCCAGGTTGGGTTACATAGTGAGCTCAAGCCCAGCCTGGACTACATAGCAAGACCCTGTCTCAACACCTCCTCCAAAAAATCAGGCTATCTTGGGATAAGATCCATGCATCAGTACTATTTTGTTGTGGTAAAATACACAAACATAAAGCTTACTAGTAGTATTAAGTAAACTCACACTTGTGCAACCATCCTGCCATCCATCTCCAGAAGGCTTTCATTTTCCCACTTTGGAACACTATGTCTAATGAACACTAACTCTTCACTCAGCTCCTAGAAGCCACATTCAATTTGCTGTCTCTGTAAATTTGATTACTCTATGCTCCTTAAGTAAGTGAAACCCAACCGTACTTGTCCTTTTGTGACTGGCTTACTTCACCTAGCACAGTCTTGTCAAGATTAACCCATATTGTAGCACAGGTCAGAATTTCATTCCTTTTTAAGGTTAAATAGTATTCCAGTGTGTGTATACACTATATTTTGCTTACCCATTCATCCATCCACCGGCATTTTGGTTTCTTCTACTTTTTGACTATTATGAATAGTACTGCTATGCACGTGGTTGTATGAATATCTATTAAAGTCTCTCCTTTTACTTCTTTTGCCTATGTAGTCAAAAGTGGAGTTGGTAGGTCACATGGTGATTCTATCTTAATATTTTTGAGGAACTGACATACTGTTTCCCACAGCACCTGCACCATTTTATATTCATACCAGCGTGGCACAGAGGTCCAGCTTCCTAAAGTCTCACCAACATTTGTTGTGTTCTGGCTTTTTGATTATAGCCATGCTAATGGGTATAAAATGATATTCCATTGTGTTTTGATTTGCATTTACTATGTAGCTAGTAATATTTTATGATTGCATTGGCCATTTGTATATCTTTAAAGTAAGGTCTGTTCAATCCTTTGTCCACTTTCAATAAGGTTGTTTGGGTTTTTTTATGTTGTCACAGTTTATTGATATATTCTGGATAGTAATACCTTATCAGAGTTATGATTTGCAAATATTTTCTCTCATGCCGTGGGTTGTCTTTTTCACTATTTTGATAGTGTCCTTGGGTGTACATGTTTTTAATTTTGATGTACCCCATTTTATCTATTTTTTCTTTCATTGCCTGTGCTTTTGGTGTCCTATCCAAGAAATCATTGTCGGGCATGAGGATTTTTTTTAAGCTCCTTGAGTGATTCCAGTGTACTGCCAAGATTAAACTACGGCTCTCAATTTTAATGTACACTCAGATCACCTGATATCTTGTTAAATGCATATTCTGATTTATTAGGTCTGGGGTGAGGTGCAAGTTTCTATATTTCTAAGACTCCTAAATGATGCTAATGCTTGGTCTGTGGACCACTCTGAGTAGCTAGGGTGCAGAGGAGCATTTTAATGATTACTTAAGAGGATATTTACCAGGTCTTCTCCTAAGCTTTTTCACCATAACGGTTTCCTGATTCACCATTAAGATAACCCACTGCTTACCCTCTAGCTTTTGATTGAGCCAAGTGCCCTGGAGGGTCCATCTGGCATGGCAGAGGAATGATATGTAAAGAACACAATCTTCCTGCCCCACTTCTCCAGGAGAGGCCATTCACTGGTCTACCCATGCTGAGTGAATTCAGGACCCACACAAATGTTGACATGTCTCTCACGAGCCTTGGCCCCTCTGAGGAACTACTAGGACTCCTGGAAAGCTATTTTGTTCAAAATACTTAATATGCTAGAAAGGAAAGCCATATAGAAGAAGCCAGTATGGAGGCAGGGAGAGACTTTTGAAAATCTGCTTCTCGAACAATCCTTTAATCCATCACAAAACGATCTAACACGAGGCAGTGACTTGTTCAAGATCACCAAGCAAAATACTTGTTCAAGAGCACAAGTACTTAGTTTTTTATTCACCTACTTTAGGGTATTTATTTGGAAATGGGTAATAGAGAGTAGCTTCTTTTTTTTTTCCCCCTCCACCTGACTCCTTTAGTTAAAAATTCTATTTTTTCAGAGAAAAGGTAAAAATCAAGAGGCTGGATCATAGTTTTTGTCCCTCATGACCTCCCTTAGGAAATTTCTACCAGTTAGGCTCACATTACCACAATAGGACACCTGCCGTCCCTGAGGTCAGTGACTCAGGTTGCAGATGTGATGCCTGGAAGGAATTACCTAGCTTCTAGAAGGCATACCCAGTGCCGCTTTCACTTCCATGCCCATTGCAGGTGTTGTAAGCTGATCACTCTTTCCAGCCACTGCCAATCAATTGGATTTGGCTCTCCAGTTAAACTCATTTGCTGTCCCTTCAGTAGAGGTCATACCCTGAAAAGTCCAGCGATCTTCCGATTTGCGCTGTATTTCATCGTGTCTACAATGGTTACTAAATACCCTTTATCTTCCTACACCAACTCCCACTGCTTATTATCCAATTATGAGTTTCCTTGATCCTGTCAAACTTCGGCCACATTGCAGAGCTCTTACAGTGATGCATCTGTCTTTAGTGATTAGACAGCCACAGGGAAGATACTGTCTCATTCTGATGCTTCTGTAGTTTGGAATAACCTCGGTCTGCTAGTACAACTTCCAGCATGAGCCCTGTGGACACACTACAAGAACATTCTTACCAGGAAGGCTGACTCAGGTGATTTGCCCTATGATTGGAACTCTGCCCCTGTGTCTTTCACTAGCCTGTCCATCAAGGCACAGGGAGGCTTCTGCTCCAGAGAAATTCCAATGGCACTGTCTGGGCCCCTCATCATGGTCTCTGGGCTCTTGACCTGGAGCCAGGAGCTCATATTCTGGCAGGAGCACCTGTCTCGGTATGGGAGACAGTTTTCACATCTTTGTGCTTCCACATTCAAATGTTAGCCTCACTCATCCTTGCTCTCAGCTCCCAGATGCACAGATCAGACAGCAGCGAAAGTTCCATCAGGAAGAGGTTTGCTGCTTGTTGAAGGCAGGAAGATCCCTCGTGGCCTAACAGGATTGCAGTTTTAGACAGGGTGGTCAGGGCAGTGTAAGGACTGTCAAGCCCCATGACAAGGGAGAAAGGAACTGCTGAGCCTAGTGGGACTGGATCAGGCCTGGACCTGCACAGGATTTGGGGTACTTGTACTAATGAACCTTCAGAGCACTCCACAGAGGTTGATTCTACTCCTTCAAGTCCTGTGGGCGTTTCAGGGTGGCACCATGTGCATTCTAAGTGTTTCCCTTGCCCACAGTCAGAAAGGCCAGAGGCCTTCTACCTCACTGGCCATTCCCAACTGTCTCCTGAGTGAGTGCCACAGCTCCCGTAGCCCCAGACTGCTTGGCCAACACCCTGAGTTATGTTACAAATATAATAATGAATTATACAATGCATTATACATAATTAATTTATAATAAAACACACAAGCAATGGTTTAATTTCTCCAAGTGAATGATATGCTGCTTGCCAGACCTTGCTGGAATGTATCCCCCGACTGACTGCTTCTTGGTCTGGAGGCGATGGCCAGCTGCCCTAGGAAGGCATCTTGGCTTGGGAATCTGCCAAGTCCCAGATTCCCCCAAAGCCACCCCTGGGTAGGTTCCACAGGAGGACAATCCTTCACCACCTCTGTTGGTCTGTACCTGCAGACTCATGGGCTGTCTCATCCCCCACCTCTGCGCTGTTTGAGATATTAGTTTCCGCACTTTTCCAACCTTTCTGCCATTGCATGGGAGACTGTATACACTCTATCCTGTCTTTTTGCCTTCCTTCTTTCTTTCCTTCCTCCCTCGCTCCCTCTTTCCCTTCCTTCCTTCCTTCCTTTGCTTCTTTCTTTCCATCCTTCCTTCCACATATATTGAGTACCTGTTATGTAGCCTGCTTTTGGCTTGGTGTATACCCGTGAATAAAATAGACAAAGATGCTTGCCCAAGTGGAGCTTATATTCTAGCAGAAGAAAACTGGCAGTAAATAAGTGTAATAAATAATTGAATTGTGTTGAATTATGTCTAATTCTGGGTGCTACAGAAAAAGGACAGCAGAGTGGGATAAAGGTGGTCTGTGATAATGGGGCAGCTTGCACTTTTGAAGGGGGCGATCAGGGCAGTCTAAGGATTGCCAAGTCCCCGTGACAAAGGAGAAAGGAACTTCTGGCCTTAGGTGGGATTGGATTTTCCTGGCTGCTTTAGCAACAGGATTTTCAGCAACATTTGTTACTTTTGGTTTCAGGTGTTGAGGATGTTACCGCTTCTGCTGCTGCTGTGGTTTCTGCCTCCGACTGAGGGGTCCCAGCGGGCCGAGCCCATGTTTATTGCAGTCACCAACTCGGTTCTGCCTCCCGACTACGACAGCAACCCCACTCAGCTCAACTATGGTGTGGCAGTTACTGATGTAGACCACGATGGGGACTTCGAGATCGTCGTGGCAGGGTAAGTTCCTCAGAGGAACGCTAAGTTTGACAGATATAGTAATTGGCTTTTTGTAACATGCTTATGTAACAACTCCAAAACCCAGTGGCTTGTGATAATAATTGCTTTATTCATAGGTCAGGGGTACTCAGCCAAAGCCTGGTCATCTTGGCCAGATTCTGGGATGTGTGGTGTCGCTCATTGCCACAGCAGGAAGTTGGGAAGGCGGGCAGTTTGGAAGACTTTTTGAGCCATACACTTTTCAGAGGTTTAAGGCCCTCTTGCCACATGTAAGCCTGCTTGGTTATGCAAGTATTACTTCTTTTCCAGAGGGGCTGTAGGTGAGAGTGGCGAGCGATGATAACTGTACTAGGAGATGCTCGATTCTGCCTTTGCACAGCACTTTATGTGAGATTATGAAGTTATTAATTGCTCATTGAAAAGAAGGAATGGTGGGAATCAGAGGGTTATTAAGCCTCGTCTAACCATTCCTTGGTACCCACTGCTTCTTTCTCTCCTGAAAAAGCAAGAAAAGCATCACCGTGGTGTTTAAATAGGTTGAGCTCATGTCTAGATGTACAACTTTCCCTGTTTATGACCTCGAGACAGTTCCTTCTCCCTGAGATTCAGATATATCATATTAAAAAGGGATAGCTTCTTTTATATAGTAATGACTTGTTCCAACATTTCAATAGGCTACCACACGTGACAAGGCATTGTGAATTCTGCAACTTACCATTACTAATTATTATGTGTTAAGCTCTAACATGTGCCAGGCACTGTATATCGTCTTATTTCATCCTCCTGATAATGCTGTCACCCCTATTTAGAGAAAAGGAAGTGGAGGTCAGAGATAGTAACAGGCTTGCTCTCTGTCAAACAGAGTAAGTAGATGATTCAGGATTTGAACCTCAAGGGGTCCTAATTCTAGTGCTGCCAGACTACACGCTACACAGTTTACTTATCACTTCAAAAATTGATGAATAAAAACACTACAGGGGCTTGTCGACCTTATTCTGGGAAACTGAGCTTATGCAGGATCACTGAATAACATGCCAGGCAGATAACATGATCTGTAGCATTGCATGTAACAATAAAATTGTTGACCTTGGAATTGGAAGACCTGGTATTGATTTAACTATATATAACCCAGTAGTTGTGGTGCTCGTGCAATTCATTTAATGCCACAGATCAACTTTCCTCATCTGTAAAATGGGTGTAATGAAACCTACTATTCCTGCCTCACAAGGTAGTTGTAAGGGGCCATGGCAATGATGTTTTCAAAAGACATTTTATAAAGTGCCTTTCTTCTTTATTAATTTCTTCTATCTTGTGAAGAGGAGTGGTACTAATTCTAGACCATCTAGAAAGTCAGGATTAGATGCCATCCAGTAGAACTTTCTGTGATGACAGAAATGTTCTGTGCTGGTATAGTTAGTATCCACCAGCTGCATATGGCTAGTTTGAGCAAGGAACTGAATTTTTAATTTGATTTAATTTTAATTAAACAGCCAGATTTAGATTGGACAGTTCCACTTGGGGGTCTCAGAAGAAAGTACTAAAGAGAAGAATGTGACCAGGAGAATAGGAGTGACCACAGCGATCCTTTCTACCCACAGGGAGCTGAGTAGTGCTGTGAGCAGCTGCTGGCCGGGTTCAGCTCCGCAGCTGCTCAGGCTCTCTCCAAGTCAGAGAGAAGCCCTCCTGGCCGAGTCCATGGCCAGCCTGATGCTCAGAGCCATGAGTCACCTTGCCAGAGTCTCTGGTTAGAGGGCTCTGATGCACTTCTGAGATGTTCTCTTGGCCCCACCTTCCACTGGGTGACCCCAGCAGCCCTTGGTAGGAGACAAGGACAGAGAACACTGAGGCAGCCTTCCTGCCTGTCTCAGTTACCACTGGCATGCTCTTTTTTTTTTTGAATCTTAGATGGTGACATAATCTTGTATTTCCACAAGATCAAGACCTGAGATGTGAACAGAAAGTCTTTTTATCCTCTTTTCCTCTCTTGCTGGAACACCTGGCAGGAGCCTCCAGTTCCGTCACTCAAAAAGTCTCCCTGTCCCCAAAGTAAAGGCATCTCTGGTCTCAGTCCTTGCACACCCGACACCAAGCAGGAGCTCTGGTTCCCACAGCACAGCACACCACCACCACCACCCCCCCCCCCCGTCACTTCAAGAGGTCTTTGGTTCTCTCCTGCTTGGTGCTTGTTCTTCTCCTGAGGCTCCTGAGCAAGGTAAGGAAAGGCATAGACAGCTGAGCACATTCCCTGAGGAAGACACAGAGCTGTTTGTAGCTTAGCTGTGTTGTTTCTGCACTGTTCTGCCCCTTGTGATGTCTCTCTCAAGGCAATGCTTTCAGTAGATCTGTTGCTGAGGTTGATTACTGGAACCCTAATCTAAAGGTATCTTGCAGCGCTGGTCTCCCTCCCTTCCATCCTCTAATGTGCAGGGCTTTGTGTTTCCTGAGTCTGCAGCTTCTTCCTTCCCAAGCACTGGGCATGCATTTCATCTTTCTATCATGAGTCTTTTTTTCTTTCTCTTCCAAGGAACTCAAGACATTTGCTTGGGTGTCCTTTGTGTTAGAGAAGCCAGACCATTATTTATATTAGCTTATAACAATGTCTAAACCTTGGCTAGCTTGCTGCTTACCTTTGGTCCTGTAGTACACTGGAGTTGACCTCTGGAAACCACAACCCAACCATCCAGGATCTTGACCCTGGATCAGCCATTCAGAAAAATCCCTGGGAGGGGGTTGTGACAGGCAGCCTCTGTCTGAGAAAGCTTGGGATGCTATGTGCTATTTTAAAAGATGTATTTTGCTCACCCTTAGCAAAGGATGAGCTACACAGAAGAGCTCATGTGTAGATTGGGCAGCCTCCCAGCTCCAGGTCAGGGTTGGTTTTTTTGTTTTGTTTTTGTGGCTGTTGTGAACCATTGTGAATTCAGAGAGCATCAGAAAGACAAGTTCTAATTTAAGTACCAAAATACATTCCAAAGACAAATATAACTTTTTATTATCTTCAGCTTAGGATGATTTGTCACTGTCTTTTCCTTTGGGCCAGATAACCAAAAGTTGACATATTTAAATCAGGACCTTGGAAGGTCATTTGGCCCACCTCTTGCCTTCCAATAAGGCCACACTTACAGGATTTGAGAGCTTCGTTTACTACTAAGAGCAATCCCAGGGAATGTGTGTGTGACCATTAGTTATGTCAAGCCAATTTGACTAATCTAAACTCTTTATATTAGAGTTTAATCAGCCATTTCTTCTAGCTTTTTTTGTGCTATTGCCTTTGAAGCAGTAGCATGTGGTTACCACCTTTTTCAATAATGAAGCTAGAATCACTGTCCTGTCTTTCATCCCACCTGGACTTCTGTCAACAATTCTGGTTTTGACTTGTAGTCTGTTTCATCCGCCCTGCATCCATATTTAACTCTGTTTCCTTCTCTGTTTGATTTGTAGACTCTAAGAATCATGTAGCAGGAGTTGAAATTTTAAAAATTGAATTTGAATGCCTTTACCCAGGGCACCTGTGGTCCTGCTCTGGACAGGCCTACTCTCTATTATCTTATAGATCTTTCCATTACCTGGCCCCTGAAGGCATTTACTTTTGCTACCTCTGGGATAATGGTCAGCTCTCCAGTTTATAAGGCTTCCAGTACTTGAACTTGCCTTGAATTCGTTGACCTTGTAGTGTGTCTGACTCCAGTCCTGTAGCTTTGAGTATTTACTCTTTGAATAGGTTTGTTTTGTTTTGCTTTTTTGGTACCCTTGTTCTGGATATTGATGGCATTGATTCTGAGCATGTTGCGGGTGGGTTCATGTTGTGTTTCGGATTCTGGAGTTAATTGTGATGGAAGGCATGTGCGTGCCTCTGACTCTGGGAGGAGCAGAAAATGACCGCCCTTTGTTCTGTGGGGATGGGGGAGGGAACTGGCCGGCTGTGTCTCCTCTGCCACAGCTGGGCGAGTGCCTCAGCATACGGAGGGCTTATCTGTTAACCGGCAGGTGCATGATTGCGGTCTGTGCGCACTGCCGCCTCCCCACAGGGCCAGGGGAGGATTTGATCACCCTTAGAGAAGGCTGCGCACGCACAGACCATTGAGGATCTTCAGGACTGGTTCCCTGGGTAAATGGAAAGCCCAGTGGCTTCCCCTTTTCTTGGTACAACTAAACACCCAATCTACAGTCACATGGAGTCTGGAAAGGAATGCCTGTTGGTGACAATTCTGTACAATTCCTTTAGAGTCGCTTTTGTTTCCTGGGATATCCCCCGAGGTCTGAGATAACCCCCCTGCCCTCTCAGTGTTCAACAGGAGTTTGCTCAAAGGGAGAGATTGTAGTGGTTGTAAAGTGTAAATCAGGATTTAGATCGGTTTTTCTACACAAAGAGCATTCATTTGATAAAACAACGCATTCTTCACACGGGAGATTTTTATGTAAAGAGATGCTACATTTGTAAAGCATTTAAAGAGATGCTACTTTGTTTTATTTTTTTCTTAATTTTTCAGCTACGTCTGTAAACTTTGTTAATTTACTAAAGTTAATTGAATTATTTAAAAAGCAAACTGCATTCAATTAGTAGATTAATCATGATCATATAGGAGATATATTTGCTATTGAATATAATAAAATCAATGATAAAGAGTGGGACATTTATCTGTGATTTAATCAAGGCAGCAGCATTTATGCTTATTACAAATACAGATGGATATGGGGGCTGGGGATTTAGCTCAGCGGCATAAGCACCTGCCTTGCAAGTGTGTGGTCGTGAGTTCAATCCCCAGTACCGATAAAAAAAAAGACAAAATACAGATGGATACGTGTAGTATACACACATCTGTAATACATATAGACAGGTATGGTAGTTAAGGGTGATATGTATAATGTAATACTATGCATATTTAAATATGTCCCTTCACATACATACACATGCTATTAACAAAATGGGGATAAGTGTTTTTGACTTTCAGTCTAGTTGCTTAGTAAACTATAACATTTTAATCGATTTGATCATCAGT